TGCCCTATTCACTGAGCCACAAGCACCGCCCATTTCATCTGTTTTTGAAAACATCTTTTTGTCATGTGTCTATTAGAAAATTAAAAACTATATACATTGCTTGCATTAAATTGTAATGGAGAGTGCTCATCTACATCTAGAACCTTCTTCAAGTAGTTTCCAGGCCTCCTGTGACACTCAGTGCCAAGCATATCCACTAGATACTCACTAAAGCCCTAGACTTCCTACTTTTGAGACCCCACTACAACAGTGGCTCTTAGTGGAGTTATAGCACCTGTCTAAAGCGCTTCTAGAAGTTTGCTTGACATTGTGATTAGAGTGAGGATATTAGACTGTGAGGACAATTCCTCTCCAGCAAGATCTTTCCTCATCCCACTTGACTTCTAAATGTCCCAGCAGACATCTGTGAATCAGGATAGAAAATCCATTTATAGCTTATCTTATCCTCCAACCCATAAGCATTTTTTGCACATTTTAAATTTATACTGAATTTTGCAGAAATCTTGCTCTTCTATATAGCAAGAGAAGACTATTTGATTCTGCCTCATGGTGGTTCTACTTACAGGTATATGTGTGATTGCTCAATTCTGCCTCTCAGAATAATTATACCTTGGCATTTTCATTCAAAATGTAGATAATATATTATGAAAAACATTCCTTTTATTACTCTCTTATAATTTGGACATTATAGTTATTAAAAATATGGATAAGTAGGTTGTTAAACCTATGCATGTCATTTCAGGATGAATTAAGGAGACCTCCCAAAATATTTACTATAAAGGAGGGGTGTAGGGCTTGTCAGGGCAGAGAACCACTGATTGATCTTGTTCTGGGCTTTGCTCCAAACCTCCTCTGCCCTGTGGCTCAGGGGCCCCCTCTTCACAGTCCAGGACAGCAAAGGGACAGAGTACAGGTAAGTTCCAGGTCCTGTGTCAGCTGTTTCGCAGGAACTAAAGACCAAATGTGCATCCCAGGCAGGGACCATGATAGGGCCTACTGATCGGTTTCTCCAGGTTTGTCCGCCGCTCCTCATGTAGGAAGCCCCATGGGGTACCCGTGTTCTGGGAGAGTGCGACAATGGGAACTGTATGTAACCTGGCTGCTGGGTGATCAAGAAGGGGAAATGTGTGGTTGAGGGCATGGGTGCCCAAGGAAGGAAAAAGCTGGGAGGCTCAGTTTTCTAGGTTCCCTTAGGGGATGAGGGGCTGCAGCTGGAGACCCCTGGGTCTGAGGGAGGAGGGGCTGGGACCTGGAACCCTGAGAGAATGACCTGGAGTTCACTCCTGAGAACTTTGTTCTGTGGCGAGGGCTCCCACTCACCTGAGTCTGGAACCCTCCCGGAAGAGCTCGTCGTTGGCACCCTTCCGGCCTCGGGGTGGCAACAGCGCCGCCACCTGCCGGCTCTTGGCTTCCAGGTTGGCGAGAAAGATTACAAGAAAGTCCCCAGATCCCCCGGGCCCCTCGGGTTCGCCTCCGCCGCCCGCCCGCCGGCTGTTGGCCACCTCTCGCAGCAGCTGCGCTGTGCGGGGCAGTACGTCCCGCAGCCTCGGGGGACTCATGGTCAGCCGGGGGTCCCCGCATTGCTCTTGCAGGCGCTGCAGCAGCCTCACCGCCCGCCCCAGGGTGTGGGGCTCTTCCCACTGTCGCCCCTGTCGGGCCGCGGCTGCAGCCATGGGTCCCTCGGGTGTCTTGAGCGAGACGGATACTGCTGAGAAAGGCACGTAGAGGCCGCGGGAGGAAGGAGGGGCGGGCTCTGGAGAACCCGGGAGGGGACTACAGGCGCCTGTGTCTCCTAAAGGGGCGGGGTTGGGGGATCTCGCACCTGAGTTCTCTGGAGGTGGGGCTTTGGTCAGATTCCTAAAAAAAGAGGTGGTTTTTGTGGGTAGCGATAGGAGGGGACCTGATGGACTGGGAATTGCAGATAGGATGTCTAGGTCCCTTCAAGGAGGAACGAGGGGTGGGGGAGTCCTGCGAATTGTGTTGGGAAGTGGGAGGAGGAGAGCTCGGAATTTGCATATCCTGACCCTACAGGAGGTGGGACTTGGCATAAGGCACTTCTGCGTCAGGGCTGAAGGTCTTTGGTCGTGGCCTGGGATTAGCTTTCCCGGAGGAAAAGGTCAGGAAGGTAGTGCAATCGATCTGTCGCCGAGACAGAAGGCACACAGTGACCAGAGCCCCGGGTCTCCTAGGAATAGGGGATGGTAGATGGGTGTCTGAAGGAGCGGGAATTTAGCAGCAGGATTCTTGGGTCCCCATGGTTGGGTGCGGGCGGGAAATCAGGCTAGAATTTAAGTACCGCTGAGTCCCGACGCGGCGATGTAGGAAGATGAAGTTCAAGAATGAGAGGGGCAAGGCTCGGCTAGTCGGAGTAGGGCGAGGGCGCCTGGTTTTCACCCCAACCAGTTGCACCTGTTGTAGAGCATTAATTAGCCCAGCCCGGCTGCGCGCTGAGCAGCTACCAGGGGCGCTGTGGGCCCGGCGGTGCCTCTGCCCCAAGGCATCCGGGCCCAGCCTCCGGAGACAGGTGTCGCTCTTGTCCAGGCTAGAGAGCGGTAGCATGAGCCTAGCTCACCGCAACCTCAAACTCCTAGGCTCAGATCCTCCTTCCTCAGTCTCCCGAGTAGCTGGGGCTATAGACACCAACCACCACGCCTGGTTAGTTTTTCTGTTTCTAGTAGAGACAGGGTCTGGCTTTGCTCAGGCTGCTTTCGAACTCCTGAGCTTTAAGCGATCCTCTGGTTTTGGCGTCCCAGAGTGCTAGGAGCAAGCCAAGTTGTGATTGCGAATACGAACATATCTAGGGAATTTCCAATCAGAGTTTCATAGTGATAGGTGATATTTATGGAACATTTCCTTTCTGTCAGGCCCTGTGTGTCTCACTTTAGAAACATTTGCTCACTGAGTTCTTAAAAACCCTTGAAAATGAGAGTGGAGGGAACTTAGGAAGAGACCTGAACATACCGCTGCACCCTATGTCCCTCTGATACAGGATTCCCCCACTCAAGGTTGGACAGCCCCCCCCCCCATTCTCTAGGCCCAGGTGAGATCAGAAATCAGAGCCTCATCTCTAGGCACAAATAGTCTGCCTTTTCCAGGCCACACCCTGTGGACTTTCACAAGGTCTTGAACAAAGCAGCCTGAAACTTTATGGGTGGTTCCACCTGGAGTAGAGAGCGCACATCCTAATCCCTTCCTTGAGACAAAAACTGTGGAGACCTAATAATCTTGCCCTACTTGAGGGACTACACTCATTTATTTGTTAATATACCTATTCATTAACTTTGAAAATGTGTTTTTCTACTTAGCAAGTCCTGGCCAAAATGTTATTCTCCAGACAATATATACCCTTAGACGAAGGACCCAGGGAAGAGTCGTCAGACTTAGGTCTTACCCTTTGCCAGAAGCTCTGGTGCTTTTTTTTTGAGACAGAGTCTTACTGTGTTGCTCTTAGTAGAGTGCTGTGTGTGGCGTCATAGCTCACAGCAACCTCAAACTCTTGAGCTTAAGTGATTCTCTTGCCTCAGCCTCCCAAGTAGCTAGGACTACAGGTGCCCGCCACAGTGCGTGGCTATTTTTTATTGCAGTTGTCATTGTTGTTAAGCTTGCCCAGGTTGGTTCCAGCCTTGGTGAAAGTGGCTGGCGTGGTGACAACTGTGCTATGGGC